CTTTCTCTCTCTCGCTCTCTCTCTCTCTCTCTCTCTCTCTCTCTCTGCGCGCTCTCTCCTTCTATCGCGCGCTTACCTGAACACGGTGGATTTGTCGGGCCGCTGGGTCGGCAGCACGTTACCGCCTCTCACGAACAGAGGAATGTGGTCCCTGGGCGCCGACACCCGCACCACGCCCACGCGCGCCACCTGCTGGCCGGTGTAGTAATCATACCAGCGGTCGTCTGGGAAGTAAACGTCGACCGACGTCTCACCCTGAATCAGAACGAGTCGACATGAAGCGAGGTGGCGCCACTAGCGTGACCGCGGTTGCCTGTTTTACACCGTACAGTATATCGCCATCACTTCTGCAGACATGTTTCGTAAAATTTCTACACCATAGAATTCCTAACCAGGGCTATCTATGTACATCAAGACTACATAATAGAGACTACTCTAGTACTCTATTATGTACTCTTGATGTATATATATATATATATATATATATATGCACGCACACACGCACGTACGCACGTACGCACACACACACACACATGTACACTCGCACGCAAGCACGCACGCACGCACGCACGCACGCACGTACCTGAGACAGCTTGTTGTACGTGAATTGATCGTGACTTTCTCCCGCGACGTCGACTGTCGTCGGCTCGTACGGCACGCCGAGCACCCGGATGTCACTCATCGTGCGGTTCGTCATCTCATCCGTGATGTCGTTCGTGACCAAGGTCATCATCAAGGTCCCTGATGCTACCTCCTGCAGGCGACAGAGGGAGACAGCGGAAGGGCGGATGCCCAAGTTATTGACACCGCTAGAGCTGGTTTGGTGATACGCTTATCCGTCTCTCTGATTAACCAAAATTATTTCTACTTCCTTGACAAAAATATCCGACACTTATTATCATCATCATCATCATCATCATCATCATCATCATCATCATCATCATCATCATCATCGTCATCATCATCAGCATCCTTTTCATCATCATTATTATTATTATTTATTTATTTATTCACTTGAATGTTCTACCCCTTCCTTTTAAATCCAGTAGTTTTCAGTGCCCCTGCTGAAGAATGATGATGTCATTTATATAGTTTAATCATATATGTTCCATAAGAACTCATCGTGTATATCTCTAAATAATGCATACGTATACTAGACGTGTTATGCGTACCTGTTTTACATTGAACTGAGCAAGATAGAGCTTTCCCGCTTCAATCGTTCCTGTATGAAAGAGAACAAAATTATGATCGATTTATACGTTTAGAATGATTAACCCACCAGCTTACGATCAGAGACATGCGATGTAAAAGTGCTGTCAGGTAGAGACTATTACTGACTTCCCCATGTAACTGACTTCTGTAACAAAACATTTGCTTCCCCTGCCACTGAGAAGGAATCTTCTTTCCCCCATTAACGTTCCCCTCTCTAGCTCTCTTTCTTCCCCCTCTCTCTCTCTATCTCCCTCTATGGGGTGTGTACGTAGAAAGTACATGACTTTCGATGGATCGATAACCCTTTGGGAAGACTAAGGGTTAACTTTCTCCTGAGAAGGAATCAGTCTCCTCCTCCAAGACTTGCCCTTCCTTTAGGAAGAGCTCCTCCCTTTCTCTGACTCACCTATGGATTCTCCGTCGTCCCAGAATAGCTGTCCGCTAGCATCGTCTGCGTTGCCAATGGCAGCGATGACGCCAAACGGATGAGTTCGGCTGTTAAAACAATGCAAACATGGAGGTACAGAACGAGCGAAATGTACGAGCGGTAAATACATGAACATTGTGGATTACTTTCTCTTTCTCTCTCTCTCTCTCTCTCTCTCT